ATTTAAGGTTTCCTCCCTCTTTCAATAAACGGCATTCGGCTGGCACTCGGCATTCAGCCGTGGCGAATGACTCGCTGTCTCTTGTCCCTTATTTTTTAATCCACAGCCCCTTGCTCGGACATGGTGAATGGGTGGTGGTAGCGCGGGCGTTATCCCTACACGCCACCACCGCCCGGCTTCAACTTTTCTATCAGGACTAAACATTATTAATTGATTTTATTTTATCGTAAGATATGTGTATGTTTCTGTATGGGGGTATGTACACATGAGTTCATGTGGCTGAAGATACAAGAAGACAATGTGGGATCCCTGGAGCTGGAGTTACAGGGAGTTGTGAGTTACCAGATGTGGGTGCTGGGAACCAGAACCAGGTCCTCTGTAAGAGCAGAATGCACTCAACCGCTGAACTCACTCAAACTTGAATTCACTCTGTAGCCCAGGCTGGCCTTGAACTCAGAGATACACCAGCCTCTGCCTCCCATGTGCTAGGGCTAAAGGGGTAAGCCACTACTACATAACCTTTCTTTTCTTTTTTTAACAATGATTTTATTCTTCTTTTTAAAAGTTTTCTGTGCATTGGTGTTTTGCCTGTGTTTATGTCTTTATGAGGGGGTCGGGTCCCCTGGAACTGTGTTACAGACAGTTGTAAGCCAGAATGTAGTGCTGGGAATTGAATCTGGGTCCTCTGTAAGAGTAGCCAGTGCTTTTAACCACTGAGTCAGCATTGTCAGAGGGCAGTATCCACTTTCTGGCCCGAGTGGGCTCTAGTTAAAAATACAACCTTCTACCCCCAGTGATTTTGCAGGTAGTAGTCTCCTTAGACTTCGATTCTACTGCCATTGGTGAAAACCAAAAATCCTCTTCAAGAGCTATGGAAACACTCTGGGACTGCTGGTAGAATTTCTGAGTGTAACATAATCTTAATATTTGACAATCCACGTGCGTAAATAAGTCTCTCTATACAGATTCTTGGTTAAACTTGTTGGAGAGGCACTGTGAATCTGGCTTAACCATAGCCCCTGGAAAAGCCCATCTTTCTTCCTGGAGAGTGACATTTTGCTTGTGGGCACCAGGGTGACCCCATCGCACAGTCAAAGCACTGTGTCCCTCACCTCACCCTGAAGTCTTGTGGGATGACCCCAAAAGTCTTCCAAGAACAAAGTTCTCACCTGAGGGTGATGTAAAAATACTTCAGAGGATTAAACAGTTTCAAAAATAGATGGAATGACATTTTAAGAGAAGGAATGTGGGAATCCATGGGAGTCCAGCTCCCACCTTCGAAGTGTTCTTGCGGGGAGGAGAAAGGAATGAGAAAGCATTAGATAGAAATATAGATGGAGATGGAGACAAAGACAGAGACAGGATAGCTTTGGGAGGGCCTGGGGTCAATACCCAGTCGCCTCAAGATTTATTCCAAAGGACTTCTTATACAATGCCAAGGAGCAAGTCAAAAGACCTCCCCCTTTCAAGATCAGAGCACAATATACAGCCAAGTGTAGACCCTTCAAAACACCTGGTAACCATGCCCTTAGCCAAATCACCCCATTATGCAGCCCTGCTGGGTAAAGCAAGCTCAGATTCTCTGAACTTGAGCAAAGTCTTACTAGGGAGCCTTTGTGGGCACCCACAAAGGAATAGGGCTTGAAGAAGTGTTTCATGTGAGACCATCAGAAAGTACCCTGAACCCCAACTTCATACACTCCATTATCCCTTGGGGTGATCTTTACCATCTACATTTAGGATCCTCTTGAATACACACATCTCTCTCCAGAGGGAATAGAGACCCCTCTGGATTCCCTAGGCATATTATCTATGGCTCGTGGCTCCCTCACCCAGGAATCAATCTAGTAGATGGTAAACCCATTAAGTGTGGAGCCATGCTGAGTGAAGGCCACCAGCATTCACTGTAGGTTCCAGATAAGACAAAAAAGGAGAGAGAATATGGGGGAGTGGGAACGGTCTCTCCATTATTTACCTAACTCTGGTTATGCTGGAACTCTGTATGTAGACTGGCCTGGCCTTGAACACACAGGGATCCACCCGCCTCTTCCTCCTTGGTTCTAGGATTAAAGGCATGCACATACACACCTAGCAGACAGGCTATATTTTAACAGAAACCAGGAGAAATTACTTTTCACTAAGGGAAGACTATACATGTACACAGTTGTCCAATCAATGCAACTGTCAACTCTTTTTTACCTAGTACATTCTGAGTGAAAATTTAAAAGTACATTTTCCATATTAATAGCTGCATATCACTTCCCAGGGTATATACTATGCTATAGTGTATGTATACAGTATATATACAGAGAGAGAAGAGTCTATAGTAAAGATAATATGGGGACTGGAGAGCTAGCTTAGAGATTAATAGCACTACCTGCTCTTCCAAAGAACCTGTGCTTGATCCTTAGCATCCACACACTAACATGGCAGCTCACAGCTCACAGTTCCAACTCCAGTTCTAGGATCCAACACCCTCCTCTGGCTTTCTTGGGCACCAGGCATAAATATGGTACAGACATATATGAAGACAAAACACCTATCCATACATAGCAAACAAACAACACATCTGTTACAATTGTAATTAGGGCTTCTCCTTTTTGGATAAGTTTCTAGCAGCCAGCTAGCGGCCATGAATGGCTTAGCTTTTGCAGACCGCTGAACAGAATGGAGGTGCAGTGGGGGTAACAAACCTTGCATGCTTGCAATCTTTGCAAGCAGCACTATGCCTGTCTTTCCCTGGACTGTGCTGGGATACTGCTTTACACTGTTTGTTCCAGGAGAAATTTCGGTGTCCACCATGCCTTCTGATTGGTCTTTCTGAGACAGTCATTGTCATTTCATAGTTGAAGAAGCCATCTCAACTAACTGCTGTATCTACCCTGATCATACGTCTAGGAACCAGAGAAATGGTTGCTGGGTGGCTCTGGAGATCCGGTGGACTCATTGTGACAGGGACATTACCTGACCTCTTCATTGCCTCCTCTCTCAGGAGATAGTGAGGGAGCCTTGGGTTCCCAAATATCAGCATCAGCTCAGATGCTGTGCCCAACATCCTCTGAAAGAGCCATACGTTCCTTTCCCTGGCAGGAAACAATGTGAACAGATGTCCTGAGATTCCTTTGAGGGAAGAACCGTGAGCCACTGTATAAACACGTGCAAGGTTCCTTCTATTGAGAAAACAGGTCTCATTCATTTGATGGGCTCTGAGTCCCATTTAGAACTGTCTGAAGTTGGAAACTGTGGGAAGGATCTAGACTTTACATTGGGATAGTGGACTTGCACCATGTGCCCATCGGTTTCCCACTCTTTGATGATATATATGAAAAGTAGCCTACAGGCTGCCCCACTGTCCTGACTGTAGGAATATCCTATTAGCTGTCTCCACAGACACCTACAGAGAGGGTCTCCAGCTGTCTCTCTAAGGAAATTACTTTATCTGATTCCAACAGCTATGTGCTTCCACCTGGTCTGTTATTCTGGGACCTAATGTTTCCTTTGCTACTGTGGAAGTCAGGGCTGTTACATAGTCCTACCATTATTCCATTCTACAGACAGCAGCACTGATGGGCTGCTCCACGATGCTCAGGGCCATGGCAGTGTGTTCCTGGTCACCTCATGAAGTTCATGCCTCTGAGTGGCCCTGAGAAGCACAGTCATTTCTAGTACTAGAGTGAAGCTATCTCACCATTACAATTAGGTTTGTACCCCTTAGTCTGCTGTCATGGTTCCAGCCACTTACTTCCACTTCATTAATATACTCTAAAGCTATGCTGAACCTGCAGGGGCCACCAGGAGACAGCCTAGAATCACTACCCTCGGCCATCACCAGGTTGATTAGGTTGTACAGCACAGAGGAACATTTAAGTATTAATAACTCTGACAGTTTAGTATTTCAGCTTTCTTTATTTGGTCCACCCCAAACACAACCTTCTTGCTGAGCTTGCCATTCCTTTGGTGGGTAGCCCCTCCCTCACATCTTCCAGCCCCACCCAGGGCTTGTCCACTTGAGCCATCCTGGAAGGCCTCACATAGTCTCCATTCAAGCAAGACAGGGGAGAGGAGTGCCTCTTCCTTCCAAGACACAGCAAAGGGATTCTTCCTTAGGCAAGTAGGTTCAGGGGAAACAAGTTCAAAGGCCCCATGCATACCTGTTTCAATGCCCCTGTCAGGACCCTGAATTTGGCAAGAGACTTCCTGAACTTAGAATCCAGCCTTTGCTGGAGTTCTGTCTTTCGGATTGTAAGGACCTGGAACATGCCTTTGCTGCTGTCTGAAAATACAGCTGCAGGATTGGGTGTCTCTTTCCTTACACTTGGGATTCTGCAGCTAAGCCTGCCAGCAACTTCTGTCAACCTATTAGCACAAAGTACCAACAGCCAGCAAATCCCAGCATTCTTAGAGTTGCCTTGTTTCCATCCACTAGCGAATATGCCACCTTGCCTGTAGCTCACACAGTCGTTAGTGCCTTTCTACAGGCTAAAATTGGGTCCGTGTGCTGGTATAGCACCTGAGGGCCTATTGATATCCCACCAATCACCTTTTGGTTGGACAGTGACCCAACTCTAGAATCCCACCCTGAGGCCTTGTTTCTAGGACCATTATCTTCTAGGACCATCATCTTCTGGGACCATCATCTAGGATGAGTCTCTTAGAGAAAGATCCAGAGATGGGGCCTTTTTATGAGTCTTATTTGGTGAGTTTTTTGCTCTTGAATCAGGCTCTTACTTTATAACCCAGAGTAGCTTAAACTCACTATATAGCCCAGGCTGGTATCACACTTGCAGCTGTCCTCCTGCCTCAGCCTTCCAAGGGCTGGGATTACAGGAGTGTGTCACCATGTGAGTTGGAGTCTTAGAAGCTTGTAGTTTATTATAAAGCGCTCTCAGCAGTAGGATCAAGGGAAGCAAATGTGTGTGTGTGTGTGTGTGTGTGTGTGTGAGAGAGAGAGAGAGAGAGAGAGAGAGAGAGAGAGAGAGAGAGAGAGAGAGCTAAATCAGTTGGACGTGGGGAGCAGAGAACAGCAATTTATTACATCCTTGGTTCCAGCTGGAGGCAGGGGGATGGACCTCAAGGCCAGGAGGTGTGACTCCCAGCTTCAGCTGTCTGCATGTGACCCAGAGAATCCTCTGTGGATGATGGAGTCGGTAGAGAGCACTCACTGCTGTGTGTGGGAAGACCTGGCCAGAAAAGGACAAGGTGCCAGGACACCAGCAGCATCCGGGACATCAGTCAACTGTTTTCATTTGTGTCCTGAATAGCAAACACTTCCTTGAAAGTCTTCTCAAACTCAGACTCCAGTCCAAGTCCCATTTGGCCAAAGTTAAGGTCCTAGAAAACAAATATCAAAAGCAGGAATGATGGTGATCATTATCAGTGAGAGAAACATCTCCTCCTTGTCAGCACTTCTGCCCTCTGATGGAATCTGTGCATCCCTGGTCCAATCACAAGTAAGGAAACTTAGACTTTGGTATTTCTGAGAATCGTGCCTGTTTAAGGTAAGAAGCAGAAACTTCTCAGCTGGGAGATGACTCAGTGGGTCAATGTTTGTCACACAAGTGTGAGGACCTGAGTTCAGGTCCCCAAACCCATGCAAAGCTGCACATGGTAGCACACATCTGTAATCCCAGCACTCCACGGTGGTGACCAACAGTTTGCCTTGTCTCAAAAAAGGTGAAATGTGAAGAACACCCATGGTTGCCCTCTAACTTGATCCTCATGTGTACTATGACACACATGCTTCTGCATCCACATGAACATGCACACACTTATGTATACTATGGCATACAGGCATTTGCATTCACACATGAACATAAGCTCACTCATCTGTACTATGACACACATGCTTCTTAATTCACACATGAACATGCACACACTCACGTATACATACACATCACACATATCCATACACACACACACACAAAGATTTAAACTAGTGTGACGGTTTGGAAAAAAAAAATTGGTCACCACAAGGAGTGGCACTATTAGGAGGTGTGGCTTTGCTAGAATTGGTGTGGCCTTGTTGGAGGAAGTGTGTCACTGTGAGGGTGGGTTTTGAGGTCTCCTATGCTCAAGCTACACTCAGTGTAGACACAGACTCCTGCTGCCTGTTGATCAACATGTAAAACTCTCAGCTCCTTCATCAACACATGTCTGCCTGCAAGTTGTACACCATGATGGCAATGAACTAAACCTCTGTAACTATAAGCTAGCCCCAAATAAAGGTTTTCTTTTAATAAGAGTTACCGTGCTCACGGTAAGTATTTACAGCAATGGAAACCTTAATTAAGACACTTAGGATCTAGAGAAATGGCTTGGTGTTCATGCAGGCGGCTGTAACATCAGCTTTCAGGGATCTGATGTCTCCGGCCTCCATGGGCAGCTACACTCCCATGGACATACACAGTGCCTTCTGCCACACACACACACACACACACACACACACACACACACACACACACACACACACGCTAGGATTAAAATCCTTTGCCATCATACCCATTGTTGTGGGATAATCTTTCTGAACACTGTAAAGATGTGTTTCTCTATTACCTCATCTGCCTAAGGTGCCTTCTGATTGGTGTAATAGAAAGCTAAAAATCCAATAGCTACTCAGGGGAGGATAGGTGGGACTTCTGGGCAGAGATAGGAATGAGGGGAAGGAATCTGGGGTGGTCTGGGCTTTGCCAGCCAGACGCAGAGTAAGTTGGATTCGCTCTACTGAGGAGCAGAACATAGATTAATAATTTAATCTTTCATCATTAATAACTTAAGGTTTAGGAGCTAGTGGGGAACAAGCCTAAGCTAATGCCAAGCTTTCATAATTAATAAGAAGTCTGCAAGTCATTATTTGGGAGCTGGTGTTCCAAAGAAAGTCTGGCTATACACCCAGAGTGTACATATATATTAAAATCAATCAATCAATAAAAAAAAATGCCCTTGTGTTGGGGGGGCAGGTAGCTTAACTGTCCTCTGTGTGGTCTTCTAGCCTCAGAGACTGGGAATTAAATGAGCTCTGTCATGCTGGTGACATGTTAGCACATCACCATCTACATATGAAACCAAACAATTTTTTTTCACTTCCAGAAGTTTTTTTCTTTTGAGATAGGGTCTCATACTATAGAAAAGGAAGGATGTGAACACAAAACAGTCCTCCTACCTCAGCCTTTTGAGGGCTGTGATCAAAGGCATGCACCACTGGGTCTGGCATCTCAGACTTCTTGCTTATGCAACTTTAATAAAGGAAGATGTGGGAAACTATAGTTTCCACATACTAGAAACTGAGGGAGGAGTAACCTGGCAGAAAGAAGATGAGATGCAGGCAGAGAGGAATGCTGACCTTGAACGTGGTCCTGTGATTGTGGAAGATGAGCCTCATGTCTTGCACAAACTCTTCCACGTGAGAGTAACCTCTCTTTCTCAGCTTTTTCTTGATGATGTCCAACCACATAGCTTTCTGCACACCCTCAGATGTTTCCCTAAACTGGAGACAGAAACAGCAATGGGAGAGGGACTGGTATGGCTCAGCATTTACCTTCCACAGGGCCACAGAAAGTCCACAGAAACAACAGAGCCTGTGGACCTGGGGGATTGTGAACCCAATCTCACATGTGCCCCTCTAAGGCACACGACATCATGGCAGCCAGTAATGGGGGGTTCAACCACCAATACTTACATAATAATAATATGGCATCTTGGAAAAAAAGGAGCTCTCAGAACAGCAATAGACTTTCAAGAGGACAAACTCACACTTCTGCAAGAAAAGGAGACTCAATCAAAGTGACTTATTAAGACAGAGTCCATACACATGCCCAGGAGGAAGGAACCACTCAAATCCACATTCTGGAAGTTTCTCCAACATTAGTGTATCTTGGTTACAGACTTAGAATGGCTGAGTTAGTTCTTATGCCAATGGTTTATGCTGTGGTAGCAGCATGATGGAGTGTGTCTTGGAGGAGCAGGCTCCCTTTGGTGCTATTCTTCTGACTACAAACCTGTTTGTGCTCTTCCAGGAGAAAGGAGAAAGTGTGGGGTTCACAGGGACTCACCAACTGTTCCTGGGGCACCATGCGTCTCTGCAGTACCTCAGATTCTGGATGACTCTGTTGGCTTCCTAAGGACTGCATCCTACAGAAGATGCAGCTCCATGGTGTTCTGAAAGGTTGGACGCGAAGTGAGCAGCAGACAAGCCTTGAAAGCAGCCACAGTTCTATGCCTGCCACTGTGCTTTCAGAAATGACTGACAGTCTCATCTGGGAGAGAGGTTCCCAGGCTCTGAGGGACCCCCTGTGGGATCTTAAGCTGCCAGTGCTCCCATCAGGGCTGTGGCAGGAGCCAGTTCTTGGGAAAAGTGGAATTTGTGGTGAGTGCAGGAATCTACATTTTCCAACAGAGGTTTCTGGGAGCACAGAGAGGCCAGGCTATCAGGTCTGTACACAGTAAAATGGATTCCACAAATTCTGGGAACCTTGGACCTCGATTGGTCTATTACATCCTGGTGAAATGTAGGAAAGAGTCATGTTTCCTTCTTTCATGAATAAGTACAAAAGAGAAAACCTGGCATATTCCACTCTTAATCTTTTTGACAAGAAGTTCTGGTGAACAGCTTTGAAGAAAAGGCAGTAGCAATGCATAGGCAAATGGCCCAGGCTTTGTATCAAGAGAGAAGCCTCCCCTAACAGAGAACATTAAGCCCTTGCTGACAGCATCTAGAAACAGCTCTCTGCATATTCCTGTTTGATATCTGTTATGAAGAGCTTTTACTCATCCCTCATCAGACACAAGATCACAATCTACAAGAGTTATGTCTACGACAAGGAAAAGGTGTCTAAGAGGAGACAGAGAAGGGACCACATCTCACTCACATCTCAGCCTCCACCGTTGGGATGTGACACTCCTCATGGAAGGCTCTGGAGCAAGTATCACAGCAGAAGAGTGTTCCTACATCCCGGCACACCTCACACTCATCTGAGTTTTGCATCTAGAAAGTAGAACATTCACATCATGGGGAGATGAGACCCACAGAGCCACCACTGTGGCAATCCTCAATGTGGGGCCTTTGTATGAATCTGCAAGGACATGGATGCATCTTCCTGGGACAATAAGGAACATCATGGAATGTAAAATGTGTAACAAGACTTTCTGCTCTTCAGTGAAGTTTGAGAGAAGGGGGCCATGAACCAGTCCCAAAACAATCTTCCTTGTCAACAAAAGATCCTGACAGAAAGACTAGCAAGAAAACACTATTTTACACAATCTGACTACTTTTCCTATGATGTAGATAAAATGAATTTCTGAAGTAAATATTAAGTTCATTTGCCTACGTAGCAATGATGATATTGACTCATCAAGAGATGATAATACTAGGAATTTAATTTGATGGGATAAACTAAGAGAATACCACATTCTGTAATGGAGCCATGAACAAGCCTTTGAAGAAAGAGTCTGCAGAGAGATTTTAGACAGTGAGTTCTGTACCTAAAGAGCCTGTGGTGGGGCCTCTGAGAAGACAGGGTATGAGTACAGATGACCAGCCAAGTGGGTACAAAGAAGGAAAGGACTCTGTGGCTGTTGGAATCTTGTAGAAGATTCCACATGACCAAAGAAAATGGGCATGTGAGGTATGGAGTCACCACCACTTAAAGATAAGGACTGTAGTCATGACAACCATTCAGGGATGGAGACTGGGATGGTTTTAATTGTAAACTTGATATAATCTAGAATCACCTGAGAAAAGAACTTCTGAGAATGTCTATTAGAGATCACGTTAATTTCAGTTAGACCTGCCCACAGTGGGTTCCTGGAGTGTGTGAGCGGAGAAAGTGCAGTGATCATGAACACACACAGGTTAGCTCATTGCTCTATGCTCTTGATGGTGGATGTGATGTGACCCATGTTCCATGTTCCTACCACCTCGACTCCCCTGCAAGGATGGACTGGAACCTAGATCTATGAGTCAGTTAAGCCCATCCTCTCTTAAGCTGCCTTTGCCAGGGTATTTTATCACAGTCACAGGAAAGGGAATTGAGACAGAGACCAAAGCTCTGCCATCATTTTCTGGGAGCCGAAAAGAGAACTATGTTGTATGAAAGAGAAAAATCCCCGCAAGTCAACAGAGATTGGACTTCTTGCCAGGCCTAACACGGAGTGGCTGTAGTCAGTCAGATTCAGTTTTCATCTAGAGAAGGTCAATTGACAGTGTGTGTGCCTTGTTGCTATAGAGGAAGGTCTGTTTATTCAAATCCATAGGCTGTACAGAGCAATGAAGAAGAGACCAGTAGATACCCGCTGTATGGTACTCAAATCCATGTGTGCTCAAGGTGCAGAAGTGGCCTATGACTGACCGCTGCTCTGTGGGAAGAGCGGCATAACACCAAAATTAAGGCTCATTGTTATATCCTGCCCGGATATCTAGAAAAGTTGGAAGGCTTAAGTGGGGTGCTCAGATTAAGGCACCCCACTTAGGAGATTAAGGCAGAAAAACTATGAGTTTGAAGACAGTTTGAAACCTCTGTACAAAAACAAACAACTGAGGCCTAAAATGGTCTCTGAGTTCTCTGTACCACTCTGCTCCAGGAAGTGAAGCCCCCTGGCTAACAACCTCTATCATCCTTGACTGGCATGTTTCAGTTTCTGTCCCCCACCAGAGAACTATTTTAACTTGTACCTCACAACCTCCCTCAGGATGTTGTGGAGGTTCCTATGATTAGTGTTAATACAGGAACCAGAAAGTATCTGAGTGACATGTGGACAGGAACACATGCATTCCTGGTGTCACTTTCAGAAAGAACAGTGATAGTTGGAGAACTGGATGGTGGCTCTATACCCATATAGAAAACTCCCAAGTCAGACGTGGTGGAACATTTCCAGGAACCTCAGCAGTGGAAAGTCGAGACAGGAGGATCAGGAGTTCAAGGCCATCCTTGGCTACATAGTGACTTTGAGGTCAATTTGATCTACATGAGACCCTGTCTCAAAAACATCATGGAAGGAAGAGAGGGAGGGAAAGTGGAAGGGATGGTGTGAAAGGAAAACTCCTATGTAGTCCTTGGGCTTTTGGGAAAATTCTTTCTTGTGACCATCTGAGGGCCAAACATGGCACAGGCCTGAGGACTGGTCCACCACTGAGTGAGTGGTGGGAAGAAGGGAAGTAGGCAAGGTGACAGGGTCAATCACTCTGTGCCCTGTGCCATCTCTGCCTTCAGGAGAAGCCTGGCCTGTGGCATCATTCTTGGTGGTTTTGCTCTATCACCTCAACTGCTGGACCACTTTCCTTCCTGAATCCTTCTCCTCGGCCTCACAAAGGATGGAATTCCTCAGGTTTCCATCCTTGGCCACAGTCTGTCCATATGATCAGAGTCATTCCCCAGCCGCAGGTTTCCCCTTGTGTCCTCAGCTTCAGGGCGTCTCATCTCTCCTCTGCAGCCCTACATGTCCTAATGCTCAGCGATGTCTCCTCTAGGGCTCCCTAGGTGCCCCTCACACTCATCCTGTTAAACTACAGTGCATCTTCCTCCTGCACCGTGCTCTTTCGTTGTAGCTTCCATTTTATATAACGTGCTCCATGCACCACAAACCCAGGAGTCCATCCTGCTTCTGTGCTCTCATTTTCTAAATCCATTCAATTCACTTTCCCCTGAACACGAATTTTTAATTTTATTTAAAATTTTGCTTTGTTTAGCAAGATCCACAAAATACAAGGATGCTGGTGAGCAAAGAATATTGACAGGACCGGAAGGATTATGGTGATGTGATGGCTGTTCTTGGATGTCAACTTGGCTATATCCGGGATGAACTACAATCCAGAAATGGAGGGCACATCTGTGATCAGATCTTGAGGCAGGAAGACAGCATGCCTTTGGTCAGGATTTTCAGCCAGAATGAAACACACCCTTAATCCAGATCCTGAAGCAGGAAGACACATCTTTAATCTGGGCCACACCTTCTGCTGGAAGCCTATATAAGGACAACAGAGAAAGGAAGGATCGTCCATTCTTCTATTCCTGCTTGCCCTTGCCTTGCCAGCACATCCATTCTTTCACTGGCACTGGAGCCTTGTTCTTTGGGATTCCAGTGTATACAGAAGACCAGCTGAGACACCCAGCCTCATGGGTTGATTAACTTATAGATTCTTGAACTTTCCATTAACAGCTAGCCATTGTTGGATTAGTTGGACTGCAGTCTGTAAGTCATTCCAATAAAGTCCCTTTTTGCATATATATAGATATAGATAGATAATTAGATGGTAGATCGATAGATTATAGATAGATAGATAGATAGATAGATAGATAGATAGATAGATAGATAGATTCCTTCCATAAATTCTATGACTAGAGAATCCTAACTGCTACAGATTTTGGTACCAGAGTGGTTCTAGAGAAACAGAACTATAAGGATGAATCTTTTAAGTATTTGGAATAGGCTTTTTAATTCACCAGCACCTTCAGATAATGAAGTCTCTCTGGGCACTCCATCTCCAGGTAGCTCAGAGAATACTGAAAGCCCATGGTGTGAACTATATTACAAACTTAAAAATATAAATGGCTTTGATTATCTTGATTAACCAATTGTAAGCAGCAAAGAATTTGGTGACCCTATGTATGAAACTTTTGACAGTTTGGGGGAAATAAGAAAAATGATGTTGCTGGTTGGTTGCTCTTAGCATCTCTGGATAAATTGATAAAAGGGTAGGAATGAGCTCCATGATAAAATTAACCAACTTCAGAATACGGTGAAGCCCAGCAATGAACTCAAAATTGACCAGCTCCAGATGTGAATAAACAGCCTAAAGGTTTTTAAGTTTGCCCTGGAAGAAAACCTCTCCAGCAGCCACAGAGCTTAAAACCAAACTGAAGCCCTCATTATAAGGTTGCCTGAATTACAGCAAAAATTCAAGTCTCAGCCTCAGGGTGTCAGCAGTTAAAGGAAGGGCATTAATTAGCAAAGAATGGGATCCTACAACCTGGACGGGGATGTGTGGAAGGACTCTATTGAACCTGAGAACTTTGCACCCTCAGATTCTTACCTGAGGAAGTAGCACCCTCAGTCCCACCCTGTGAAACATTGCCCTTTTGACCTTTCACTGAGGAGATTAATCCTTCAGTGTCTGCTACACCAGCAGTGACTTTCTCTGAAGGAAATGCCAGGCAAGACAATACATATGTCCTTCAGGGTCCATAAATAGTTGTCTCTAGACCTATAACCAGACTCAAGGCAAAGCAGGTTCCTGGAGAGGAAGTAGAAAGTGCAGTCCATGAGGAAGTACGCTACACTACTGAGGAGCTTAAGGATTTTCATTCAAGCAGAAATCTGGGGAATATGTGTGGGGATGGATTTTAAGGGTATGGGATAATGGTGGAAGGAACATAAAACTGGATCCAGGGCACACTTAAAAACCTTTAAACACATCTGGAGCTGGTCAATTTTGAGTTCATTGCTGGGCTTCACCGTATTCTGAAGTTGGTTAATTTTATCATGGCGCTCATTCCTACCCTTTTATCAATTTATCCAGAGATGCTAAGAGCAACCAACCAGCAACATCATTTTTCTTATTTCCCCCAAACTGTCAAAAGTTTCATACATAGGGTCGCCAAATTCTTTGCCACACACAATTGGTTAATCAAGATAATCACAGCCTTGATATGGGCCCTCTGAGTGGAGAGTCTAGGTTTAATATGGAAGCTCACACAGTTAAAAAAAAGTGTCAAGTTTCTTTGAATGGTTGGCTGAAGCATTTGTCAAAAGATGGCCTCCTGAACAGGAGTTGGAGATGCCTGATGTCCCTTGGCTTAGTGTTGACAAAGGGAGTTTAAGGCTCAGGGAAATGGCAGTGCTAGAGTGGGTGTGCTGTGTAAAATCTAAACCTCCCCAATGGGAAGGCCCAGAAGACATACCCTTCATGAATCCTGTAAGACAAAAAAATGGTGAGAGGGCACCAGCACATTTGAAAAGTTTTGTCACCCTTTTCCTGTGTCAGATCTT